AGACGGAGAATAGGATAGCAGATGAACAAGGAGACTTTAGGAAAGGTAGGGGGTGTGTGGACCAGGTGTTTACAGTGAAACATATAAGTGAACAGTATTTAGATAAGGCTAAAGAGGTTTTTGTGGCATTTATGGATTTGGAAAAGGTGTATGACAGGGTGGATAGGGGGGCAATGTGGCAGATGTTGCAGGTGTATAGTGTAGGAGGTAGGTTACTGAAAGCAGTGAAGAGTTTTTACGAGGATAGTGAGGCCCAAGTTAGAGTATGTAGGAAAGAGGGAGATTATTTCCCAGTAAAAGTAGGCCTTAGACAAGGATGTGTGATGTCACCGTGGTTGTTTAATATATTTATAGATGGGGTTGTAAGAGAAGTAAATGCGAGGGTCTTGGCAAGAGGCGTGGAGTTAAAAGATAAAGAATCACACTAAAGTGGGAGTTGTCACAGTTGCTCTTTGCTGATGACACTGTGCTCTTGGGAGATCTGAAGAGAAGTTGCAGAGGTTGGTGGATGAATTTGGTAAGGTATGCAAAAGAAGAAAATTAAAAGTGAATACAGGAAAGAGTAAGGTTATGAGGATAACAAAAAGATTAGGTGATGAAAGATTGGATATCAGATTGGAGGAGAGAGTATGGAGGAGGTGAATGTATTCAGATATTTGGGAGTGGACGTGTCAGCGGATGGGTCTATGAAAGATGAGGTGAATCATAGAATTGATGAGGGGAAAAGGGTGAGCGGTGCACTTAGGAGTCTGGAGACAAAGAACTTTGTCCTTGGAGGCAAAGAGGGGAATGTATGAGAGTATAGTTTTACCAACGCTCTTATATGGGTGTGAAGCATGGGTGATGAATGTTGCAGCGAGGAGAGGCTGGAGGCAGTGGAGATGTCATGTCTGAGGGCAACGTGTGTGGTGTGAATATAATGCAGAGAATTCGTAGTTTGGAAGTTTAGGAGGAGGTGCGGGATTACCAAAACTGTTGTCCAGAGGGCTGAGGAAGGGTTGTTGAGGTGGTTCGGACATGTAGATGAGAATGGAGCGAAACAGAATGACTTCAAGAGTGTATCAGTCTGTAGTGGAAGGAAGGCGGGGTAGGGGTCGGCTAGGAAAGGTTGGAGGGAGGGGTTAAAGTAGGTTTTATGTGCGAGGGGCTTGGACTTCCAGCGGGCATGCGTGAGCGTGTTTGATGAGTGATGGAGACAAATGGTTTTTATTACTTGACGTGCTGTTGGAGTGTGAGCAAAGTAACATTTATGAAGGGATTCAGGGAAACCGGCAGGCCGGACTTGAGTCCTGGAGATGGGAAGTACAGTGCCTGCACTCTGAAGGAGGGGTGTTAATGTTGCAGTTTAAAAACTGCAGTGTATAGCACCCTTCTGGCAAGACAGTGATGAGTTGAATGATGGTGAAAGTTTTTCTTTTTTGGGCCATCCTCCCTTTTGGGAAAATCGGCCGTGTTGTTATAAAAAATAAAAAAATATTGAACAAATCCCTGTTTTTATCCCCCTAGCAGCATTACTCCCTCATTATCCGATGTCCAACGTTCTTTGTGTGACCCTTTTTTTTGGTTACCTTCCTTGTTTCCCAAATTTCACAAATTTTATTTTTTAAAAAGGATACTTACTTTTAAAAAAATATCTGTATTCCTTTTTTTTTCCTATTTAAGCACTGTTAAAATTCCTTATAATCTACCAAATTTTTTTCCCCCCCTTTTCCCCTAAACTACAAATAACAAACAGTGTATGTTCCCACTACATATGGCAATCCCTTTAAAACCATCCTCACTAGTAGTATCAACTATTAAAAATAATTTTTCTATAGTGAATTTTTTTGCTCAAAATTGTGCTAAAGGCAAAACCTACTTCAGATTTTTTTCATATCTTAGTGACTATATTGTGTGTGCAAATTGTGTTATTTCAATTACATTATTGTTCAAGGCTCAAAATTTATTTTGTTGTACTACCAACTACCTCATTATTTTTCTTTTTTTTGTACAATAAAATTTTAACTTTTTTATATATAACAAAACAGATTTACTCCCAAATAATATTATTCTAGTGACTATCTGTCAATTTAAATTTGTTTACCATTATTTTAAATTTTGTCCTTACTATTTTTTCCTTTATTTTAGCTTTATATAAAACATTTGTTATATTTTACAATTGTTTTTAAAAAAATCAAGGTGTATTCTCAGGTGATAAAATGTAATAAGTTTACCATTTTGCCCTTATATTCCCAAGCTATTTTTTTGATTACCTTAGTTCATATACAGGAAGGCCCCCTTTCGGTGGTTAGGTTCCGGCTACCGCCGTTTTTAAAGCGGAAAAACCCCCCGTAAAGTGGAAACCCTTTTTTTCAATTACAAAAACTACAAACCTAGATAACAGTTTTCCTAACATTATTAAATTGCAATAGAACCGGCATCAAAAAAACAAAAAAAAGTACAATACCAAAAGTGCATATTACTTACCTTAAAATATTTAAGTCTTAATCTAGGGTGAGACAAGTAGTATTTTTGTAAAAAATCAAGTGTGGTTGTATGGGAGTCAGCCAGGCTACC